GGTAAAAATATATTCAAAATCTGACCACTTCTCCTCACCTCCATTATCAACCCAGAGTAAAAGCCAAGGTCCTTAGAGTGACCTACAAGGTTCTACATGGTCAGGCCCCTAGTGTATCTGTCATCTCTTGTCTCCCACTCTCCTCTTGTTGACTCTGTTCCAGCCACCCTGGCCCCTTCTTCCATTCCTTAAACATACTGCTCATGTCCACTTCAGGACTTTTGCATTGGATATTTCTTCTACCTGGGATAATCTTCCCCTGAATATTTGCTTATCTAATACACTCTCCTCCTTGAAGTCTTTACTCAGATGTCACCTTCTTGATGAGGTATTTCATGANTTATGTCTTCCTGATGAATTACATAATGAAATACTTCCCACTGTCTCTATTAATCCTTTTTGTCTTAGAGTCCACTTTGATGTTAATACAGCTGCACTTTTAGCTAGGGCTTGTGTGGTATAACTTTTTCTATTTTTTTTTTTTTTTTACTTTTGATCTATTTCTTTTCTTATATTCGAAGTGGGAAGACATTTTGTTTTTTTGCGTCCAGTCTGACAATCTTTGTCTTTTATTTGGAGTGTTCAGCCTATGTACAATTAATATGCTTACTGATATAATTGGGTGTAAACGTACCTTGTTATTTGCTTTTTATTTGTTCCATTTCTTCTTTGTGACTTTATTTCTCCCATTTCTTCTTTGTGACTTAATTTCTCCTTTCATTGTCTTCTTTTGAATCAATCAAGGAATTTTAATTCATTTTCTTTATTAGTTTCTGAGTTTTATCTCTTATTTTTGTAGCAGTTACCTTAAAGATTTCACTGTACATCCCTGACCTACAATTTAAGAACCAATTTGACAATTCTACAGCTTAACTCCATTTAGCTTTGCTGTCCTTCATACTATTGTCAAGTATGTTTACTTCTCTATATAACTGCAGTAAGAAATCAGTCGTAATATCTTTTAAACAGTTGAAATTATTTCATATTACCTCCATATTCATTCTTTCTGGTGTTCTTTATTCCTTCCTGTAGTCCCATGCTTTTATATAGGACGGTTTTCATTCAACATAAAAAAACTTCCTATATGGGCCGGCCCGGTGGCGCACTGCTACAGTGCGCCGCTTGGGAAGCGCGGCGGCGC